AAAAAAAAGATTCAGTGCGACAGAGCGAGAAATTTAATTTATTCCACATAAAATTGAAAATAATCATACATTAGACTCTTAGAGATTGTTCTCGTGGTTAAAAATCTCAACGTCGCACGGTGGACCGAGTCAATAGTAGAGGTCGGACAAAATTTGGAAACTTCAAACGCTTTATCTCAGTTTATACAAAAAGGGTCCTAAAAGTGATTCCATCGGTTTCCTCGTGAAATTTTCTGCTTCGAACATCCCTTGAAATTTTAGAAGCGACTAAATAAACATCATTTGCAGTTTTAGTAAAAAGTTTCATATCCGACCTCTCTAATCGACTTGATCCACTGTGCGTCGGCAGTATGAAAAGGAAGGGTTTTTTCATCTCATTCATTTTCACATCAACGCACCATGTTCTACATGTTTTAGTAGCAACGATTTGGGCACACAGCAAGCAAATTTTAGGCTTTCCGATTGACAGAAAAAGGTTCCATTTTACTTATAGCAGTAGTACGTTCTACTTTTCTGCGGAATAATGTCGACTTTTGTCCGAGGTGTCATTTTTTTCGCATTCAATGCTTTCTCATGTAATCTTGTGTATTTTTACAAACCAGACAAATTTTGCTGGTTTGATTGAATTGGTCAGTTCATTTTAGATTGGGAGATGCTGAAGGCAACTCGATTTAAAAAAGCTGCGGGCGCTACGCCTCTCTAATGGAGATGTTGCATGTGTGAGGGATTTGCGATTTGACCATTGATTTTTACGTAAAAGTTCGCGAGAAACACGATGGTGCCACTGGTTTTCTCTGAAATCATCTCCCAAGCTCAAAAAAAGCTCTCAAAGTGAGGCCAAAATGGAGGGGATATCCCGCCCTACCTTGAGAGTTCACCTCTACATCAAAACAAACTCTCCATGCAAAGATAGGGAGCAAATACATTAGCAGGGTTGCCGTGTTCTCAGTTTTGGAGTCCCCAAATGAAGTGGCAGCCCTGTTAATGTATTTGCTCCCTATCTTTGCATGGAGAGTTTGTTTTGATGTAGAGGTGGACTCTCAGGGTAGGGCGGGATATCCCCTCCATTTTGGCCTCACTCTGAGAGCTTTTTTTGCGCTTGGGAGTTGATTTCAGAGAAAACCAGTGGTACCATCGTGTTTCTCGTGAACTTTTACATAAAAAGCAACAGTCAAATCGCAAATCCCTCACACACGCAACAGCTCCATTGTATGCTGATGGCGACACTAAAAAAAAAACGGTATCTCAACTGCGACGATTACCAGTTGCACGGATTCATGCAGAATTAGCCTGACGGAATGGTCCAGTACACATACCTGTTAAGTGCATCTGTTGTGATTTTGAGGAGATTGCAAATAAAGGTAACATGTTGCGTACTTTTTAACGAAAATATATTCCACGCCAGTGGCGAAGCGCCGTGAATGGTCGATTATCGATATTTCCCCATTTGAAGCTATGGCCAAGAATCGATTTTTAAGGTGTTCGTTGCGAACACCGAACACCCTGTTTTTCGAACCTTCTCCATGGGTTTAAATAGCAGATTAATCGATATGTCGCAAAGCACGCCACGCCACCGCCCGCGCGTATTTCAAAATAAGTTATGGCAGCGATAATATCTACATGTTTATTCATTCGACGTTGTATATTGATCATGAAGTTTCCTTTAAGTGTACCAAAAACGGCTTTAACTCGATTTTTCGAAAAAGTCAGGTAAAAAGCCCCTAACTCAGACCCTTTAAGGACAATGTTGCCTGATTTCGTCTCATGTGTTATTACCCCTCCTTAAACAAAGCAATTTTTTGACTTGGAATGTACAACATTATTAAATTATAAAAATGGGAATACAGGAGAAACAAACTACGGATATTTTCTCCAGAGACACGATACAATCATTATAAATATGAATGATTTTGCTTGAATTTTTTCGAGATTATTTTGTAGTCGAGGGCAAATTACACGTAGCGCAGGAATTAAAAGCGATTGGCCTCTCTGCATTGCAGGATGTTTGTAACTCTGCAAACCGCGGAATGTTGGGTTTTTATAACTTAATCATATTATTTAAAATTAATCAATAACATTGCTTGCTGGACATGTACATGCACTTCCGCACTAGAAAAAGGAGTTTGAGAGAGAATTGTACACAGGTAATGATAGTCAAAATTCCGTCCGCTTAGAGCCCGTCATAGTTTGTATCAAGGATATTTTAAAGTTTACAATGTAACAATTTAATATCAGTGGCGTGGCGTGCTTTGCGATATATCGATTGATCGGTCATTTAAACATATGGAAAAGGATCGATAATCAGGGTGTTCGCAGCGAACACCTTAATAATCGATTCTTTACCACGGGCTTAAATGGTATAACAATCGACATCGCAATTCACGCCACGCCACTGTTTAATATTATTCCAATAAAAGTATGCAGGTTTGGCCATTTTTGTGATTCTATACTTTGTGTGATTCTATACTTTGTGTGAAAGGTGATTGAATATTAATTGTTTAAAGCGCCCTAAGTCTCAAAGATTTACTAGTGTTTTCAAGGAGGCCGCACCGGACCAGTGACGTGGCGTGCTTTGCGATATAACGATTGACCTTCCATTTAAATTTACGAAAAAGGATCGATTATCACGGTGTTCGTTCGCAACGAACACCTGCGCCTCGATTGTTGAATCGTTATCGAATTAGTTTGATCGATAACTCCCTATCTTCACAGTGCAATATATCGATCAAGGTCATTCGATAACGATTCAACAATCGACTCGCTGGACCCAAGATGAAGGATACCTCTATCTACATCATAATACACCACTTGAATTTTTACAAAAATGTGAGTTTTCCTTTTTCGTTAAGTCTAACTTAGTATTATTTTCATTTTTAGACGCAGATACATTTTTCACGCTTGCCTGGACGAAAGGGCTCAAGAACGTTGTAAAGACGCACTTGCTTGCGGGAAATATGTTAATGCCACTGGAAATTTTTTTCATGCCTCGAGAAATGTAAGACACCAGTTTCATCAGGGATTGAGTGCATTAAAAGTGTTTACTATTCATTCAACGGCAAATTATCCTATTATGTGACTCAACATTATCCGCAATAAATTGTGGAAACTTTGTTTTTTATTTTTGTTCTTCGATCTTGGAGTAATTATTCGATCATGCAAATAGTATGATTCATTCCCTGCGTCTTAATGGTTTGATCGACTTTGCAGCGTAACATTAGAGGCTCTCATGACTATCACTTTGATTATTCCTCATAATATTCTCATCTTTTTAAATATACGTTTAAGAAAGAAACGCATGGTTTACAGGTACGTAAAAACCGATGACAGTTTCGACACTGGAATTAAATCAATTCAGAAAATTTCCAAGGAAAATTCCACGGGTGAGAAAACGAAATCTGTTCATTTCATGAAAGAAGTTCCGAAGTTCCGAATATTGAGGAGCTACTTACTTCATGTCTAAGTGCTGACACCCGGAAGCACAAAAACCTACCACCTTCACAGTTAACTGTTCNGGGGGGGGGGGGGGGGGGGGGGAGGGATTAAGCAATTAAGCGCGGGATTAAAAGTAGACTTTAATCAAAAGTAGACATTTTTCTTTCCTAGGAGAAGACAAAAAAAAACATTTACGCTTTATCAGCTATAATCGATAGAGAAATAAAAGCTAAACAGGGAGGGATGGAGGAAAAGTTTATAAATAAAAACGTAGAACAAAAAATTAAGAAAAAAAAAACTACTTCCCTCGTCTTCTGGCAATGCGTGAAAGTAAATGAATATAGTAACACCAGATTTAGGAGTAAAACATTTTAAACAAAAAACCAAACCGACACGGCGACACCGCCTTAGAAAGGTTGATCACCTTTTGAATTGTTATAAATAATGGCATTTCGAGAAAAATATTTTTATTAATTTACACAAAATACTGCTCACAGAACTTTGAACTTTAATTCGGTAACTTTGATTTAGCAATTTCTAAACTTCAAACGATATGTGTAAAATGTCAACATATTCAAAAAGAAATGTGTGTTTTATTTTCTAGGTATACTGAAAGAGAAAACGAAACCGATACCGCCTAGGAGAGGTTGATCACCTTTTGAATGATTGGACGATGGCATTTCCAGGGAAATATTTTTATTTAATTTTAACTTTTTAATTTGATAATTTCATAACTGCGAATTTAGTATTTTTGAAAGATGTATTTTATTTTTATATAAAAAAAGAAAAATTCCAGAGGCATTCCAGAGGATTCATAAGGCATGTTGCTCACAGAACTTTGAACTTCAATGTGGTAGCTTTGACTTAGCAATTATGAACTTCACACGATAAGAAAACAATGTCAAAACTTAAAAAATAAATGTTTGTTTTTTTTATTTTCTAGGCACCAATAGCCTCAGATGAGCCGTATCGTTTACTGTGAGTTATCTATTTCATTGCTTTGGGGAAACAACAGTGCGGAAAGCATGGCTGCATTTACATTTCACTCATATCGAAGTTTCCGCAGATTATCGCGAGACGGGAATTTTGAAAATCCACAACTCGTTGCAAAACAGCGTAGGGAGCAACCCGGTCACCACTGGAGTGACAGAGAAATCGATGACGACTGTCCTCGCAGGGGGAGGGGGAGGGTTCGGCTATCATGATTAGTGTTGGAATTTCAACATGGTTTTTCGCCAGAAAAGAAAAGCGATCCGGCGGTAATTTGAATTTCTGGAGGAAAATAATTATTCATCCGGACGGGAGCGGGGGAGCGGGGTAACTGGAAGTGGGGAGTCGTTAACTTGAGAATCCATGAGTATAATAAGGTCCGCCGATGGGGGTTTCTTCGCAGAACAGTTTGTGACTTTCCCGGTGGGTTTAGTTTATCCTTTCGTTTCGTCGTCTCGCGGAGTGGAAGAAAATCAACCGCGATGAACAAGATTGTATTGGCTCTTTTCGCACTTTGTGCTCTTTTCGGTTTCTCATCTGCTGCGGCCGCCACGAAGGAAAGTACGAAGGAAAGTACGTACACGAATAAATACGACAACATCGATCTCGGAAAAATCTTGACTAACGACCGTTTATTCCTCAATTATTTCAAGTGTTTGATGGATGAACACACATGCAGTCCAGACGGCGCCGAGCTGAAAAGTAAGTCGAAATTCAAAATAAAAAAAAAACTAGGATCAAAAGGGCACGATTTACTTTTTTAGGTTTCGAGGAACCGCAAAAAACTGCAACTTTTTTTTTTCACAATGTGAATTTTCTTGAGCTCAAGCTTAAATTGCAGGTTAAGACCAGTGAGATGTTAATTTGGTGTAGGTCGCACTGGGTGGTTAAAAATTTCCAAGGAAACATTTAGATCCGCAGAAACATTTTGCCGAATAACAAAACTGCACAAGAAAAATTTAGATGAAATTTGGAAGAGTTTAGTGATATTAGAAAAATTATTAAATGACAGATTTCCTGTGTTTCTTTATACCTAAATATTTTAAAAATTAAAGTCTACGATACCCTGAGGTTTTCCTAAAAGAAAAAATGGATTCATGCCTTTTCAATCGTAATATTTGTTTATGTTTTCATATCAAATTTAGATTTATGCATTTTTGACCCTATATTACTTCATTAGTGTCCTTAAGAGCTTTTTTCATAGGTCAGAATGGATGTGAAAGGAGCATGATTTCATATTTCTCAATAATCATATTCCATGAATTCATTCCTCTCAGTTTTGGTCCAATATTTGGAGACTCCAAAATTGTAAATGATAAATTCCCCTCACAAATACAAGTACGTAAACAGTAATATTTGCCTATTTTATTTTCCTGATGCCGCTTAAAAGAATTATTTAGTGGCGCTATTTTCTCAGATCCGTGAAAAAGTATACTTGTGCCCTCTTGATCATATTTGCTACCAATTTACAATTATTCTTACCTTTCTTACCAAAAGGTCGGTGGGGTCCCATCTCGCGGCCGCCACAGGCATACTAAAAGGTGATTTAGAGGTAAAGCTTCCTTTGACTGAATTTTAAAAATATGTACACCGTTCACCCGTGCGTCAAACTTCATCAATTCAAATTTGAGAACTATTACGCCTTAAGGAACTGTAAGTTTTGACACATGTAAAACAAGTGGTACACGCACACTCCTATCTACTATCTCATAGTCGAAAAGCCCACCCCAAAAACGATGTTGGCTATTCCATATACTCTACGATATATTTCAACACATTTTCAGTAATCTTTGTACAAAGCACATACTTAGGGGGAGTCGTCTCCTGTTCTATGCTACTGCATGTATATCATCGTCACTCCATGTACCCTTTTCTCAAGAACCATTGAAGATATGTGAACGATTTTTGTTTTGTTTTGTACGTAAAAGCCTCCTACATAAATAAACGAACCAGTTTTTGAATAATTTCAAAATTCAAATTTTGAACGTTTTTTCAATTTTATTTAAAAGAAAATACGCGTATTATCGACTTCGGCAACCTTTACAAATTTCAACAGTACAAGATTGAAAAACGCATATCTCTGTCTGTGGAATAGAGAACCAGGAATCTAACAAAGAAAAATTGAAAATATCTTGGATTAGATCCAGAGAAAAATTTACATGAGTGTTATAACAGTAAGTATTTAAACTTTTTATGATCATAATTTAAAAATTCACAACCCGTAAAAAAGATGGTTCAAAAAAAGGGTTGGTGCTTCTGACTATACGCTTGCGTATTAACCGTTAGAATGAAGTAAACTTAGTGTCAAATGAAACCTGAACGTATGCTTGATCTAAAAAAACGTAAAAACTAAAATTTGAAACAGTTGACAATTTTGAGCGGGTGACTCCCCTTAAGTTTAGCAAAAACATGCTGATGTCCGTTAATTGTTGGTTTGAAAAATTAATATGTCAAACGTGACGTTATCTTCGCTTTTTCGTCATTTGTGCTGGCGGCTGGTTCAATGTACTTTTAAAATTAACTATTTTCAATCATGCTTTAACGTTGAAAATATTCAGCGGTAGCCTCGATCCCTACACATTTTTCCAATATCTTCAAAGCGACCGACTTGTGATAGGTGTGATAGGAATGTTTCGAAAGTAATGAATCCATTATTTCTCCAAAATTGATGAGTTGATGAGTTGAGTCTCCAAGATCTTCAGAGCGACCAACTTGTGATAGGTGTGATGGGAATGTTTCGAAAGTGATAAATCAATTATTCCTCCAAAATTGATGAGTTGATTCGTCAAGCTCAAAAGAAGTGGTCGAACTGGTATGCGATACATCGCATCGATTAAGTCAAACATCTCGGCAGATTTTGAGTTTTTAGAAAGACAAAGGACAATAGTCCCTGCACACGAGCCTAAAGAATCATTATTAACCCAAATATTGGCAAAATTCAGAGAATTGAAAGCAGAATATAGTGTTTGGAAAAAAACCTCGCATTCAATTCAGCTATCGATTTCTGTATCGAATGCGAGGTTTTTTCCAAACACTATTCTGCTTTCAATTCTCTGAATTTTGCCGATTTTTTGGTTTAGAATGATTCTTTAGACTTATGCGCAGGGGCTATCGTCCATTTTTTGCTGAACATTCAAAATCTGCCGACATTTTTGACCTAATCGATGCGATATATCGCATGCCAGTTCGACCACATCACTTGAGCTTGACGAATCACCTTAAACCACACGTTTTTTTCTGCTGGTTTAATTGCTTCGTGTCTAGCACCTTCAGCCAACTTTAGAACCACACGTTCATACCTTGAAATTTTTAAAAGCCACGTCGAGTGGAGATTCTTCGTGTACCCAAAAGATGAAATCGTAACAGTCTCTATGTAGTTCGGGTGCACTCTTTAATTTTTGAACACAAATTTACTCCCTGTTTGTTTTGTATGATGAAATGTTTCTAATGAGTATGGTTAATTGTGACCTCGAGTTTTAATTTTGTCTTTAAAATTCCAATTGTAAGGGAAAAACCAACCTTTTTCCAGCTCCAGATGGGCATTTTGATTATTTTCGAGAGCGTTGATCGAAATTAGGAACATCTGAAGACACGTACCTAAAGCTAGGCAGACTTCATATTTTGACTATGGTGGGCCGTGATAAGTAAATTATGGTTTTATGAACCTTTTCAACGATTGCTCGGATTCTATAGGAATTATTCCTGAAGTAACAATACCGGCCAGTTCGGGTCATTTTTTGTCTTTTTTTTTTCATAGAATAACTTGGTGGGCTCCAATGATTCCTGCTGATTTTCTAGGAGAGTCAACAGTGGCGTGGCGTGAATGATCGATTATCGATATTTCCTCATTTGAATCCGTGGTAAAGAATCGATCATTAAGGTGTTTCGCTGCGAACACCCTGTTAATCGATCCTTTCCCATAGGTTTAAATGAAAGCTCAATCGATATATCGCAAAGCACGCCACGCCACTGAGAGTCAAGGGTCTATGGGCATTAATCTGCCGTGCTAAAGAAAAACGCCGTATGAACCTCCAGGCTTTGCCAAATTTCCTTTGATAAAACACGATTTTCTCGGTAGACCTATGAATATTTTCATTCCAATTCTTCAGATACTTCTGCTCGTAATTTTACCTAAATTTCCTGAAAATTTAAAGGAAAAATATTCATAGCTTTCCTAAAAAATGAACATTTTATTGACGGAAATTTGACAACTGTTGAATGTTCAAATGGCGTTCTTCCTTGGCACGGCAATAATCTTGAGCGTTATTATTCCTCGTCCGCATTATGATTATACATGCCTCCTTGTGCTGGTGCGTCTAGTAAAAATGTGCTTAATCTTCAAATTGGCTTGTTTCAGAGGTCTTACCTGATGCTCTATCCAACAAGTGCGCCAAGTGTACTGAACGCCAGAGGTCTGGATCCGAAAAGGTCATTCGTCACCTGATCGACAACAAACCTGAAATGTGGGCGAAATTGGAGGCCAAATATGACCCAAAGGGCACATATAGGAAAACTTACAAGAACGAAGCCGAAAAATTGGGTATCAAAGTCTAGATTAAAATAATGCCACGGAGTGACCTGAGACTCATCAAAAACGTTGGCCCCAGAATGACACGTAATCCAAATCAGAGTTCCTAATTTAAATGCAGAAAAAAATCATGATTAATGTTCAAAATTGACGTTGAATGTGGCCAAAAGTAATAATAAATGATGATATTTTTTCGTCGTGAAAACTTTTGCGTGAATTTTCGCTTTTCGGTTGATTTTGATAAAGAGAAGCACGAGGAAGACAATGACGATATGAAAAATTGAAAATTTAAGGAGCAAAATTATACCAGTCAGTTACCTCTACCTCTATTTTTCTCTCTTTGAATGATAGTCATATTTTTTCCATCTTAATTTATTTTTAAATTAATTTAAATTATAAATTGCCGTCGCGAAGGACTAAAATAAACGTTTTTATTGTTTCCATGCTGTTTTTATCTTCAAAACTTTATCCTTAGTCAGTCAAAAATTGACTGAAATCTGTTGTTGCTCATGCAGACAAAAGGACGTAAGTGTATTGCAATGTTGCAAAATATCTTTATAACAGTTGCTTTTCATCATGAAACTTGTGAATGTATTTAAAAGAAAATTCCACCAACTTATATTTGGATTGTGCCGAACATCCATCAAATTTTTCGGGAAAAATTACGCAGTCGTATGCCTCCATTAGCAATTTAATTTTTTAAATTTTGCAACACTGAAATGAAGTTACGTTCCTCCGTTATGAGACACGACGGATTGACATATGTGAAACACCGAAAAAAAGTGAAATTGATGTAACATTTTGGATGTAAAAAAAGTGTACGAGAATTTATGAAATGCTATACCCGCTACAGTAGTCAGTTAGTTACTTTAGCAATACCAATATGTAAAATTAACTGATGTGGCGGGTAATTCAGCATTTATGAGTTCTCGCACACTTTTTTTACATCCAGAATGGTAAATCAACTTTACATTTTTTCGGTGAAAGGGTTGCCCAATGCAAGATCCTTCAAATGAAGTCATCTGATAAGAGGGGTATTTTGCATCGAATAAGATGGTAATCAAAGTAAAGTAAAATATAAAACATGAAAATGAAAGTATAACATAAAATGTTAAAACGTCATTCCCTCTGTGGTCACTTTTGGCTGTTGTAAACATTTTTATTCCTTCAGTCGTAATAAATCAAAGTAGAGTAGTGCTAGGGGGTGCGCCCCCTGGCCGCTGCGACGCTGCGCGGCCTAACCGTATAGAGGGTACCTTGCACCCTCTGAAGACTGCTTCGCGGGTCTGAGTGAGATTTTTCCAAAATCTGAATAAAGCGGACTCATCCTCACAGCCGAAACTAAATAGGAGAAGGGAAAACATACATTTAGCGCGACTATTCCTACTTTTAGTTGTCACAAAAATCCAATGATTTCGGAAAGTCAATTAAAGAAAAGCATTTTAATATAATTTGAAAGCCTGCTGCAGTTATTATTTGATGCACACGTATGGTGGGATCAGGGTGAGTGTCATATGTTATGTGTTCAAAGTAGAAAATATCCAATGAGAAATGTTCGTCACAAATCATCGCAACCACAAAATATTCAACGTACACTTAGTTCTGTCATAAAATGTCCCTCAGAAAGATGTCGAACTATTGATTTCGGAATATTCAGTTTTTAAATAGTGGATGTTCCGAAGGAGGGAGCAAAAATTGAAACTAAAGAAAATGTCTAAATGCAGGAATAGGGAGGTAAACATTTTTATTTCTTCAGTCGTAATAAATCAAAATAGAATAGTGCTAGGGGGTGTGCCCCCTGGCCGCTATGCGGCCTAACCCCAGAGGGTACTTCGCTCCCTACACACTAACACCTGTCAATAGCAGCATAAATCATAGAAATCGGTCCAATATAGGGCTGGATCGAACAGTGACAGAAAATAAAAATTGAGGGGGTCAGAAAATTCATAGTAATGACTGTCGTAACATATCAAAACTAAAGATAGGCATCTCACCAACAAGTCATTGCAAAAAAGCTAAAAAAATTGGGATAGAACGAAAAGGCACGACAGAAAAATTTTAGAAGTTCGGTTACGGCGCACCAGGACACATCCTCTGTGAAGGGACTCTTTTTTACGGATACTTATTGACAGCGGACAATATGTAATTTGAAGATTTATTCAGGGTGGACACATTAAGCATCGGAGATTATTGCAGCAGATATTTATTATTGTATGCTTTGTAGAGCGTTTAAATTGAGATATTTCTAGTCGTTATCACTAGCTTAGTGAAGTCTACGAAAGCCTAAAATCTCCTCTAAACTTTGGATAGCTGTTAACGGGCTATCTTCTGAATATGCACGAGGGTCATTCAAAAATTAAGCTCCGCTATTTCATATATTTCGAATTAAAAATACGAATCAAATCGGTAAATATTTAAGTGTCAGACCTCCTAACATCGTTATGAGCTTACCTCCCCGGTACCTCACCTGATCGCATTGAAGTTCCCCAATTTACTACTCGAATTGAGGGGCTTGGAGGACAAAGCGTACGAAAGCAGTTCTTTAAATAATAAATATATTAATTATTGCTAGTTAAACTAGTCTTAATGCATATTACGTGGAAAATTCGCTCCCAAATCCAATTTTTAAGCATCAAAAAGTCAGTTCGAACTTTCTTTTCACCATAAGGATCCATGTAATACCGGAACTTCAAACTCGTATTTCTCGAAATAGCAAAAACTGCACGTATGCGCCTTGTCCTCCAAGCTCCTCAATTTGGATAGTGCCGAGACTGAAAATTCTGATTCTACTATGATTCTCAGAAAAATGGCTATAAAGTAAGTTTTTTTTAGTTAAATATTATTTCTCATCTAGATACATGTAGTTCGAAATATTACTTGTTTATTTTGGTTTGTAGCTCGATTTTTAATCAATTAGCATGTTCTATACAGCTTAACCAGCCAAATTGGGCAATAAAATGTAATGGCTAGAAATTGGTGTACTTAAAATCACCCGGTCAGCGAGAAATGGAGATTTGTTTACGAAGATTGGTATCCACAGAGCGTGTTCACCACTCAGCCCACCTTGAATCGAATAATTCTCATGCAAGAATCAGCCATTACGTTGATTTTCTCGCGGAATATTAAACATATGCTAATTACTACATTCTCCTTTGATTTTTGGAAGGCTGGGTCTTTGTACTTTTACTGATAGAGAGGACAATTGAATCACATATTGCAGAAAGGGCACTATTGCAGAAATGTTAACTGTTCAGAAAATGCAAAAAACTGATTTGAGTAAACTATAAGCTTTTGGAAAAAAATTTTTCGAGGTTTTCTTTTGTCCCCCAAGTAGACTGACAATTTCCATAAAAAAATTTTACATGATACTCTTTCTGGGTTGTAAATAATGACACTTGGAGGAAGAGCATTAGTGCCCTTTCTGTAATACATGGGGGAAGGAGCCATAATGAGTGATAGAATGAAGCCAGAAAATTATTTTAGCCCTTGTTTTTCATCTCAAATGTATGGCAATGATGCATGTCTATAGCGAAAGTTGGAAATTGTATGTCTCCATTGCAACGTTTCAAAATTTCTGCTCTCTTTTTATACTATTTTTTTAAAGAGAACTAATAGAGATTTTCCCATGAAATTTTCAGAAAACAATCTTGATGGTGTGAAGAAAATTTACACAAAATTTCAATAGAGAATACTTAAGAACAAAAAAAAGGAGACGAAATAAAATTGGCAATGTCGCAATTGATGGTATGCGATTTCGAACCTTCACCATGTGGTTTGCCCACAGCTATGTAAATTTTAAAAATGTTTCTGGCTTATTTCAAGTCAAGAAATTTAAAAAAAAAAAAAAAAAAAAAAAAAAAANCCTGTTAAGGGCTCCTCTCACTTCCTACACTCAAGGTTCAATTCTCACTCCTTTCATTTTCAGCGTGAGTGAAGCGTGTAGCGTGATCACTGTCGTTTCGAAACGCAAAACTAACCTCTCAATCGTATCAAAACAAAACAAACGACGAGTTGCCGCTGCCGATGCGCGCGCACCCAGTGGGCATGTACTGCAGAAACAGTGCCCTTTCTGCTCTACGTGAAGAACTTAACCCCCGTCAAAAACACATAAAAAATGCGAATATAGTGCCCTGTCTGCACTACAGGATGTGTCTACATATACTAATGCGAAAACCGCAAAAAACTCAATTTCGAAAAAAATGTCGATTGTGCCCTTTCTGTAATAGCTGATTCAATTTTGCAGTGCATATTATGCACCATGTCATTGCATTCAAAGGTGACCACACGCTGCCGATGCAGATCCTTCCAGAACATCTGATTCCCTCCTGATCAAAAATATCAAACGAACGTATCAAATTAACCCTGAAAATAAGGGGATCAAAATAAATTTGTGTTTTCTTCACTTTTAGCTTTTCTAAGATTTTACACTTTTTATCCACTTGTTTTATCTCTTCTGCAAAAGTTCGAAAATAATGGGACTTGCTGTTTGACTGAATGACCCTTGTAATTTTTTATGACAACGTTTTTGAAAATGGGTAATCGCATCTAAATCTGAAACCTCAGACCACACAATAGTTAGGCAATCCAGTTTCGATGTAAAAAAATGACAAAATCACCCCACCAATCGCCATCAAAAGACATTGCTCGAGAGTTTAATTTTAGTCGGAAAGTTTAACGCAGTATATGCTTTTGAGTTTTGACGGCAGAGAGCACAACATTATTTTTTGCCAACGCAGTATAAAAGGTTTTTTTTTTTTTTTTTTTTCTGGAAAAATTACGACATTGGCGATCTTCATTTGAGCAAAATTAAAGTCACGCTAAACAAATTTCTGAAAGTGCATCAGGGGGAATTTCAGTTTCAGAGGTTGAGTGACACACGAGGTTCAACTCCACAAGCTTTCTCACGCGTTGCAAGGTGAATTTCAAAAGTCAATCACACCATCATTTTCTGTACATATACAGAATTTACGATAATTTTTGCTGTCTCAAATCGTTTCTTTGAAAGTGGTCATGTTACCCAGCGTTTCCTCAATCTCGCCTCACCAGAATGGGCTCAAATGAGAAACAAGTAAGGCTCGAAGGAGAAAAAAAGGACAGTTTCTCGGCCGTGATAGCGAAGAGAGCAGCAACTGCATGCTGGGATGAACCTCGTAATACATAAAAGCATCAGTGGCGTGGCGTGAATTGCGATAAATCGATTGTTATGCCATTTAAACCTATGGTAATGAATCGATTATTAAGGTGTTCGCTGCGAACACCCTGTTTATTGATCCTTTTCCATAGGATTAAATGGCATAATAATCGATATATCGCAAAGCACGCCACGCCACTGAAAAGCATTTGCTAATCATGGCTCATACAGAAATGCACTTAATGCTCGCTTCGGTATCGCTATCGCTAGTTCTGGTAGGGTGGTCGTTTCCTTTCCTCCTCTACATCGA